CAATAGTGAAACTGACTTTGGGTCACTGAGTCCCCATTTCCGGTCAATGCTAAATCCACCACACAGTTTGGCAGCAATGGCGTGCTCAGCTCCCGGGAGGCTCAGCCCTGGAACGGTAGTGAATCAGCAGGTCAGGACCCAGGTGAGAGCTGAGTGGGGGAGGCATACACAGTATGTCTGGTTAGAGCCAGGCATATTGATACCCAACTTTTCTCCACCCCTAAATTAGCTAAATTTAAAAATAATGATAGTAGGAAGGATTATTCTTCCATCTGAAACACAACTTTCTCCTCTAGCTATTGGGGGGGGGGGGTGTGTGCACATGAGCATGCCCTCTCACTGAATATCTCTGTGTGTCTGTGTGTGTGTATACACACACTCACAACCTGGGCTGTGAGCATGACTTTTAGTACATGAATAGTCCCATTGACTTCACTGGGACTACTCACATGCTCAAATTTATGCTCATGCTTATGTACCTTGCTGAATTGAGGTAAACAGTGTGTGTGATTTACATAGAGAAACTTTGTGTATAAAATGAACCATATTTACTTAGCAAACAAAGATGCTATGAAACTACACCTTTAGCCCATATATAGAAGCTTTAATGGCTATAGCTATTTACTCTGTTTTAAATATTTCAGTATAACTATATTCTCTCTCTGATTTGAAACTGGGCTAATTTTTGTCCAGATCCAAAATGTTTTCTAGACCTGTAACTTGCTGGCAAATGCATTTAGAACATCCTTGCATATGCATTAACCCTACCCTGCTCTCCGGGCCCTCTTTGCAGCTTCACAGGAATTGGGACCATTTAACATACTCTGGAAATTGGGTCTGATGAATTGCAAACGAGCCCTGTTTATGCAGGAGCCTTAGCTTGGAGATTCAGGCGAGGGACTGGTATTGTGACTAAGGCTGGTCAAAAATTTTCCATTGATGATTGTTTGTGGTTTTTTTACTGAAAATTGGATTCCTGATTAAACAAACAGTTTCACAAAAGTATCTGCTTTCCTTGAATATTTTTTTTGTTTTATTCTTTTAATCAGAAAACTGAAAGTTTGGGGCCAAAACCTGAACATTTTTTGCAGTTCTTGGCAGAAAATCTTCACTTTTCAGCAACCAAGGAATTTTTGGCTTTTTGACAAAATTTGGACATTTTCTGCTGAAAATTAGAAAACCAATTGTTTTCATTTATATTTTCCTGGGGGGGAGGGATTACTTATTTTTGACCAGATTCATAGATATGGCCAGAAGGGACTTATTTAGTCTGACCTTTGCCATAACACAAGACATAAGATTTCCTTGAATTAATTCCTGTTTGAACGAGAGCACATCTTTTTAGAAAAACATCCTATCTTGATTTTTAAGATTTCCAGCGAGGGAAAATCCAGCCCAGCTCAGCTCTGGTTAGGACCTGTATCCTGAGATTGGAGGGAGAAGGAACTGCAATCCAATAGTCACCAAACTGGGATGCTGATGCTGCATAAAGTGATGTCCCTTAAATTTGCCAGCTTTGCCTTAGATAATGAACAGTATATGTGGTGTGTTTGTAGCATCCTCTCTGTTTGCATGATACCTAAAGAATGCTGGAAGCAACATTGTTTAGTTTATCCAAAGCAACTGGTACAGTTTGAAGGGAGACCTCTGCTGTTGTACATATCCTCTTTTTAAAATAACCCCATAGTTTAATTGCCCACAAGTCCCCCAATAACAGAGACAGCTGCACAGAGGTAGACAGCTCGGCAAACTTGCTTTAGGGAGATATGAGGGATCGAAATTCTGGGTTTGCAACAGCTTGCGGGCTGTATCCACAAATAAACACAGCATCCTTCCCCATCGCTCCCCGCTACACCTTGCTGTCTCCTCTCTACTCAGATTTACAGCTGCCTTGTCCAAATATATTACAGGAAATAAAGGATAAAATGCTTTTAAAAACCCAGCTCCCCAACCAGGAGAGCGGGCATCAGGGAAATAAATGAGCCAGTTTGTTATACTGCTCAGCTTTTGCCTTGTGAAGGTGAGGCCTCTTTTTTTTTCCTATTATTATTATTATTATTTTTTATTGCCACCCATTTGCCTTCATTATAATGTATTTGTTAATCCATGCTTCAGTCCATCAATTTTGCATTCCGGGCTGGGGGCGGGGGTGGTGGGGGAGAGGAAGGAGGAGGGGAGTGACATACAAAAAGAGGATGCTGGCCCCTTAAAAAGGTGAAGGACACAGTTCTAGGACGAGGGGCCGCTTTACTAGCCTTCCATCATCCTTGTAAAAGGCAAATATGCAGTCAGCAAAAAAAAAAAAAAAAAAAGATAAAGACTTCCCAATTAATAATTATTCTGATGGCCTCATCAGGATTCAGAACCTCTCAGGTCAGAGAGGACAAGTGTACACCTTTCTCTCCATTGTTTCGCCCGCAGGTGAGCTGATGCTGCCGCGGCACCATCTCTCTACCTCTCTGATGCCAACTTTCCTTCTCTCCTTCTCTCTTTTTTTTCCCCCCCCTTGGTTTTTTTTATGAGGCATCCTGAGTGTAAAAAATATGGCCTGCCTTTATGGTGCTCCAGCACGAATGAAGCTATAAAATTATGAACAGTTTTTATGATGGCTATTCAGGGGATGCTTTTATATTGATGGTGCACAGGCTGTATCTTATTTTTTTTTATCCCTCCCCCTTTCCTTGGAAAGAGATCACAGCTGGGGGGGGGGGAGAACATGAAGGGAGGGGGACCCTGTGTAACTATTTTTCATGCATTTAATATATTAATTATCCGGTAAATGCTCCCTAGGCTGTACTTGGGATGCCGAAGAATGACAGCTTTTCAACGAAGCTCCAAAGGCAGCCCATCAGCCCACAGTGTATTATGTCGGAGAGGTCAGGGTGGGGTTAATGTAACTTTTTATTTGCTGATTTTTCATAGGCGGGAGCAAAGCTCGTAAGTGGGCAGGGGAGGGGGAGACTGAAAAGAAGGTGCAAAGAGAGCAGAGATAATGGCAAGTCAGTTACTCCCTCTCCCCATATCCTCCCTCACAGTCCACTCAATGTCAGATAGCTGGACTATGCAGAAGAGAGAGATGCACATAATGCTCTGGAGGTGTAGCATCCAGAGGTGCTGGCCTGCAGAGAGGAGACCAAAATCTGGTGGGGAAAATTTGAGGGGGGTGGGAGAAGAGCTAGCGGGAGTGTGTGTGTGTGAGAGAGAGAGAGAGGAAGGGGAAACCATCACAATATTGATCTTCATTAAAGCCTCCAAAATGGAAAATAGAGAAAATTCCTTATGCAAAAATTTTGAAAAGTGCATCCAGCGTCGGAGGGGAAAAAAATCTAAAGATCAAAAATATGAGGGAAGCCGGGATGCCAGGCAGCTTGCAAAGTCAAGTGTGTTTAGTGAGGGATGATCTGGGCAAATAATGAATACAGAGAAATAAACAGATCGTTGTGGGATCCCACTGTCACTCAATTTACAACTGTCCGTATTATGTGGTCTTGGACCCCAGTCACATTGCTGTGAGGACTTGAAGCAATACTGTCTGCAAGCAAAGTCTGTTTCCCCCCCCACCCCCCGCTCCCTCTGTCCTCGTTTTATGGAAGGTACAGATCTAGGGCCATCATGTACTGATCTGGGGCAGCCCTGATCTAATGGTTCTACGTATCGGAGTATTGATCTAGGAAGTAATAGGAATTTAATTTTTCTTTAAAAGGCCCACCAGCGACCTTGGGCAAAATATTTTTCAAAAAAAACTATGTAAATTGAGATTAGAAGGCTAAAGAAGTTTGAAGAATTGAGATCTAACTTTTACCTATAAATTCTATAGCAGGGGGACAAGTATGGTTTTGTAGTTTAATATATAGAGCCCCAGATGATAGATAAATGATAAACTAATCCCGCTACAGTAAGTGTCTTGGTTTAAAAATCTGCTGTCCATATGATTCATTAAGCTATACATTTTATGTGTAGGAAGGGTGTGTGTTCACACACACAAATGTTCAACAATTGCTCATATCATATCACTGTTAAATCTGAATTGCATAAAATAAGTCATACTGAAGGTAATTATGCCAGCTGCTTTATTATTAATTTAATTCGGTAGCACCCTGTAAGCATGCACGTTGCTGCACAGAGAGTGAGAAGTGGCAAAAGTAAGAATTCAAAGAGCCACTTCCTGTGAGATGCTGAGCACCTCCTGGTCAGTCATGAGCTCCTTCAACTCCCCGGAGAGTCTAGGATGCTCGGGACTTCGTGTTCTTGACTGCTTCACAGGATTTGGCCAAGAGAGCTTATGATCTGGGGTACTCATGGGTCCAATATAGTTCAAAATTGGTCACCAAAGAAGCTAAGGGGATAGTCACTAAAGCTGGAAGGTTTCTTGGGAGCAGCAAGCTTTTTAGGAGGTAACTTGTCTCATGAGAACTGACCCATGTATAACCCTGGTCAGCTAGGAAAAATGATTTCTGCTGGGTCCTTAGAACAGCACATTCAGGCTCCAATCCAGGAAGGCATTTTACCAATTTCTTAACTTCAATTGCCTGAATTGAAGCCAATGAGACTACGCAGGTGCTTAAATGCTTTGCTGGATTAGGATATTATTTATTATTGGCTTCTAAAAGGTAGAGGAAATCTGTTTCACACAGGCTCTGTGTGGTAGTGAGATGCACTGGATAAATACGTAGTGTGTTACAGTAAATTATAGCAAGCCAATATAATTCTTATGCATTTTTTATATGGAAAAATACAATGCACAGGTAAAGCAGAGTTTTAAAATGCTTTTCTGTGTATTTCCTGGATGTATTTCTCTTCAGGGAGTTGCCTTAATAATATTTAGCATTTTTAAAGTGAATGAAAGCTATTATTTAAATCTAACATGGAAATATTGTCTCTGGTGTATTGGTGGGGCCGCTGAGGTGGATTGACTTGGTCTATATTCCTAAAAATTTCTAGCTTCCAAATCTGTGCTCAACCACTAGACCATGTCTCTCTCTCTTTAAACATCTGTGATAGGAACAATAATCTTCATGGAAGATAACAGGCATGAAACACATGAGGAAGGGGGAGAATGCATGGCTCTTCTCTGCATAAAGTAGGTAAGTGTAAAGCTTCCCAGGTTATCCTTATTGAATGCTCTTTGGTGGGAAAGGGAGTACATTTGAATAGCATTGCCATTGGGGCTGGGCGTGATGTTAGTGCAACAGGGAGGATGGTGGGTTGGCACGCTCATGTACTGCTATTCTTTCTTGAGTTCTTTCTTGGTACTGTCTTGGCATTCTCTGCATTTCAGGGGTTCCTGGGGATAGAGGTGGCCTCAGATGCATTGCCTGCTGCAGGGAAGGCCGAGAATTTGTGAGGCTTGAAGATATCCATCGCCCTCGCAGGCACTGAGCTAGGCCTTGTAGTGCAGTGTGGCTGGGGTGATGGAGAAAATGCCTTTGAGCTAATATTGCTTAGAACCAAGCACTGGTTTTTAACCCTCCTCCTCCTCCCTCGACTTTTTTGCCAGGAGGAAAAGCTAGTCCTGTTATCAATGACAGCCAGGTGAGAGCTTTTCCTCTCCCTCTACACGCTGGCTAGGAATATGCCCAGGGTGGTCCAGTGAGGAATCTTAGGGGCAATCCAATCAAATGTTCACATGGGGCACCCCCAGGTCCAGTCTCTTCCATTTCTGAGCCCATATGGTACATTGTAATCTCTCCTCCTTGAGACACCAGAAGCTGGAAGGCAAGCCCTAGCAGGCATGTGAGACAAGACTAAATCTGGCAAGGAAAAAAAGTCTTGAATGAAATCTGAGCAGAGCAACCTTTCTTCTTATCAAAAGATGAGAACCATAGCAATTTAATTATCTGATGGCTTTGAATCTGAGGTCTCTTATTTGCTTTCAGAAATCACGCAGTGGGGATGAAAAGCGCACACATGCGGGTGGGTATATAAGCAAAACTACATCAAAAAAGAACCTACAAACCCAGTGGACACTGGACAACATATTTGCTTGACTGCAGAGGATCTGTTACCGCTTCTAAAGCCGATGTTCTAACAGTCTTCCCATTTATGTACCCCGGGGCTAAGAAAAGGGCAACTAATTGGCACGCAAGATTTCAGCCCGGGAACTTGAACTTGCCCATTTAAAAATGTGTGCTTGGCCTCCTTTGTGCGCCTGTCATTTAAAGATTTAATTTCAAGTGAACTTTTTGCTCCCATAGCTCATATGTGCTTTTACTTTTGCCTGACCTACAGAGAACATCTCCAATATGCCTGTTCTGCTGGCCCAGAGGAGAATGCTCAGCACAGGTTAGTGGGCCTATCCTAAAAGTGATCATTTAAAAGATTCTTGTGACGGGGTTAAATAAAAGATTGCCGGTCTTTAGATGGGATGTACCAGCAATTACAGCCTTTTCGTATCACAGAAAAACAAACGTGGCCAAATTGGTAATGTTTAGCAGCTGGCTAATGTGCACGTGCAGTCACTTAATACTTAGTCCTGCAAGGGGCTGGACTAGACGGGCTATTGAGGTCCTTCCAATCCTACATTTCTATGATTTCACCCCTTCCCCCCAACTCCAAACATACTTGTATTAACACCGTGTAGCCTGCAAATAGCCAGTCGCTGCTGCATGGTGTTAATATTGTAAGTATAATAAATGCTCACTCGGTCACTGAGTTATTAGACGTCAGGCTACATGGGCCCATTCATGCTTGGATGTAAAATCCATTGCTTTTCACCTACTGACACCAGTGTGGCATGTGGCCTCTGGGTTATGCATGCCAGCTTTGGATGCCTATAGTTGCAGTCACTTATTAATGTGTTGCCAATCAGTCAAATACTCCGCTTCAACTTTTCCCCACGGCACTAAATTGGGGCCCAAGGTGTATCTATAGGTTCGTACTGGCAAGTTCCCAGTGGCTTGGAGGTGTTGAGTCCAGTGTTTTGGTTCAGGCCTGTCTTTGCTGGACTATGGCATCTGCCTTTCCCAATTGGCTCCTGGGGTAAAATGTCCGGAAGTATTTTATTAAATGGCAAAAATGGACCTGAACTGAAACCCCAGATTCAAGCCACCCCAAGCTTTGGGGAAGCTTGAATCTGGATGCACCATTTGTGGTGCAGTGAGTGTGATGCACTTGAGAATGCAGCACATCTATGTAAAGTATACCTATAAAGAATACATGCATTGAAAGCCTGATCCAAAGCCCATTAAAGACAATAGAAAGACTCCTTTTGACTTCAGCAGCCTTTGCATCAGGCTCTGACTCTGATTATATGTGCCAAAGGCCCAGCAGGTTAAGTGAAGACCTTTTTCATCTGACATTCCAGCCACATATTGCAGGGAGTTCTACTCTGATGTCCTAGCCACATCTCACAAGACATTTCTTCCTTGACTCCTAGCAAAATCCGGTCCCTTGACGTAAGTATGATACTGCCTAGGAGAACTGCTGTTCCAAAAACTACTGCTCTGTATGGTCTGCTGCTAATGTTTTCATACCTCTGTAGAAGAAATTACATCTTTGGTTTCAGAGTAGCAGCCGTGTTAGTCTGTATTTGCAAAAAGAAAAGGAGTACTTGTGGCACCTTAGAGACTAACAAATTTATTTGAGCATAAGCTTTTGTGAGCTACAGCTCACTTCATCGGATGGTCATATTTTTTTTCAATTTTAATATTTGATATTTCTGAAATGTAAAATAAATAGAATTTTAATTGGCAGGGTACACATAGAAACTTTAATGCCAAAAAACCTTTAACAGCTTCAACTCCCCTATTCACTTTTCCCTGCAGAAATTTTCTGTCAATATTTTAATTTCAGCATGTGGAAATGTAGACTGAATAGGATGGAGAACTGAGGTCTAAACAGATGGTTGTTAGCTAGCTGATAAGTGCATACTGCAGCCAAATAACAGTGTAGAAAATATACAGGCAACTTGGGGGCAGTGCTATTTCATCTTCCTGTCTGTACTCGAGGAATTTTGACTCGACTTGGTGAATATTTTAGAATCTTCATAGAATGGTTTTGTTTCCAGAATAATAAATATATCAGGCTTAATTAATTATGCTTTATTTCAAAATCATGTAATTTTCAGAAACACCATAGGGGATAGATGCATATATACCTCCTCAAATTATTGTCAGTATTCCTTTTAATTTTCTTCAAGTGATGCTGTCAGTTTAGTTTACCTCCCAAACATAGCTGAGATTAGAAATTATGGTTTTATATGGATAGGATAGTTTTGAAATGTATGTTAATCCAGGAAGATATACCCCTGTGCTAATGAAAACTGGAAAGTGAAAGTGACTAGAAGAAAAATGTGACTGCATGACCTTCCCTTGTCCAAGTAGAGTGTGATGTAACGGTAAAACCAGCTGCATTCATGGGGAAGAGTAAATCAGATCTTTAAAACAATTTTGGTTCTCATAATCTTCAGGAATTTAATTTGCAGAAATGAAAGCATCAGCATATGCCATCGATATGTTGCATTGTACTTTGTGGTCACAGGCTACCATTTCCTTCCATTATTAACATTATTAAACTTAGCACAATTTATTTTTGTTCTTTCTTGGCTAATTCTTCTTCGTCAGAACCACCCTGAGTTTGGACTTCTCTTTAGGCATTAAGTAGATCCTTTTGAACCAAGACCTACTCACTTCACAAACCTGAATGCGTTAACTGCTAAGCATCACAACACGGCTATGAGTTGGGCAAGTGTCAATATACCCATTACAAAGAGGGGTGAATGGTGTACAGGCTAAGTGGTCTGCACAAAGCCACACTGACACAGTGTGGCAAAGGCAGTCCTAAAACTCAGGTGTCCTGACTCCCAGTTCAGTCCCAGACCTGTGACAGTCTTGTGTGTTAACCCACTCTAACACCAAGATATTTATTCAACCAGAATTCCTTACAAATGAAGGTTCATGAAGAGGGCAGTCAGCTGAGTCTGGGTATAAAATGCTCTCCTCTCAACGGTACATTTCTCCAATGTCCTGCTAGGTATGCTTGTGAGGTGCTCCTTTGGTGCTCCTGTGACCTGAACTTCACAGTTTTGTCAATCCCAAATTTCCAAAACCATGACTCGGGGCCTCTAAAAATCACGAGACTAGCTTAAAATGATACTGATTGCTTTTAAGATCTACTAATGAGAAGCACTATGTAAGAGCTAGGTATTATTATTATTATTTTATTATATCGCTTAAAGTTATTCATTTTGGTGGGTCTTTCTGCAGACCAGACACATCTTAAACAGCAATATTGTGCTTTGAAACTAAAGACAAGGGCTAAGACAAATAGTAACGTTGTTTAAACCTGTTATTGCTCCACCTTTTGCTGGTGTGGCAGCAGGAACCAATTTCTTCCATGTTCACAGATCTCTCCTGCAAGTGCACTGATGCGTTACTGCTCTTACTGGACCTCATGGGAATTTGTCATTGATGCCAGTGGAAGCGGAATTATGTCCACTATCAATATCCACTATTGTTTTGTTGAGTCCCCTGCTACTATTTTGCAGCATTATTTAGTCAGCCAGGCCCCCGTAGTGGGAAGTGGCCTGGACCAACAGTTCTGACCTCATAAAACTGGATTGAAAATGCAGGCATGATTAACTCACCATAGATTTATGTGAAATTAGTATGTGTTTCAACAGTGGGGTTATAAATGCCATGTGCCCTCATCTAGCCAGTGGGGCTTTACGTAATTTCAGAAAAGCCCTCACAATGGCTGCTTTAAAATGACAAAGGAGGGAAGGAAAAGCCTAACATGGCAGGTGCTGTATTAGTTGCATCCAAAACACTGTCACCTACAGCGAAGCATTGTGGTGAGGGAAAATGTTTATAAGGACCAAACCACAAGGTTGGGGGAGGAGTATGAGTCGGAGTCACAACATTCCAGTCTGTAGATCTCACTTGAGGAGAATTTGAAGGGTTTAATGGAAAAGAGAACCTTTTGCCGAATACTCCAACTACTCCAAAAAACAGCTTTGAGTTCAGAGGTAGCTCTGAACAAAACTCCCGTATCTGAACTCATTGGGAATTCAGCTCCACTCTGAGTCCATAAGTTGCAGTCTGGGTCCATCTCTGCTTTTGAGGGATATGAAGTTCGTACTTTGAATTACATACTTTTTTCACACCTCTAATTTGTTTGCTTGGTGGTGGAAATACTCTTTAGTCACGAGACTTTGGTTTTCTCCTGGTATTCTAGCCCAGTGGCGATCTCACAGAAGAGCCTGTTCTCATGAGAGGTCCATTATTGATACTTTTTATTATACCAGTGCCTCAGGCGCCAACCATGACTAGGGTCCCAACAGTGCTAAATATTGTGCAAATAGGTAGTAAGAGATAGTCTTGCCCCGAAGAGTTGACAGTCTAAATAGATAAGACAGCCAAGAGTGGGAGACAGGGAGTAAAAATTTATAGATGGGGAAACTGAGGTGCAGATTAAGGGACTTGTCTAAGATCACAGTGGAGGCCAGATGTCCTGATCCCAGATGTCCTAACTCCCAGCCCAGTGCCATCACCACAAGACCATCCTTCCTCTTTAACTTGCAGGCAAGTTATTCAACCATAGGTCTACCTCGGTATGGATGGTAAGCTGAACTTGGGTCTGTTGCAGTTTGTCCCTCAATAAATGTTCTAGAATCAGTAATTCCGTAACCTTTAAGACACCTTTTCATATAGTTCAGTTAATAACTAGCTATTTGAACAATAAAATAATCCGGCCATGCCAGCAGAAACCTAAGCATGTTTGATAAAATATTTGCTGCTTAATATAGCATTTGGATTTGAGTACAGGCCTGGTGTTCTGGGTTAGGCTGCTCACTCTTTCCCAGGTGCCTATATGGTTTACATACCATGAGAGGATAGGTGTACTGTTTCTTTAAATCTGTAGCAGGAAGCCAGGCAGGTGAGGGGCTGGAGTTCTGCAGGGAAGTGGGGGGAGAGAGACCCAGTGGCTTTAGGGATAATACAGTTTTCTTTAGTTATATAAAGTTCCCTGTTCAGAGTTAGAAGAAAGCGACTTTGTAATTCTACGACAGGCTTCCTTGCTGCAGAACTGTTGTACCTTGGTATGTTGAGGTGATGGTCCAGCATAGTAGGTGACACCTCAGCAGTGGTTTATACTGCTACTGTGAATCATATCCGGTCCGTAAACCTGCTAAGCATTTGAGTGTTGAGGCCATATTGGAGGGTCTGAGGGACATACTGGTGATGCATACAAGTGCGTGGTAGTGGGAGATCTGAGATGGAGAAGCAGGTGGATATCCAATCTAAATACAAAGTGCTGTTATGGTTTCATCATTGTTTCTTTAG